ACTTTTGTTGAAATTCCTCGTGCTGGATATAAAGCTTCACTTAGTGTTGACATTTGTGAATTCAGCCAGAATTGGTTTTGGCACACCCTGTTTTCCGGGCAATCGTCGCAAATCCTTGAGGTCTGCTCGAGTTATATTTTCGTCGATTATTTTTTCAATTCCAGTAACGACAGATACTAGGTCGTCAAGTGTTTCATTGTCTTTAACGGGGACATTTCTGATCTCTATAGTGGAGCTACGGGAACAAAATTGTAGATCTTTGATGGTATTGTCAAGTGCCTTGACTTTCTGCGTTAGGTAAGGATTTCCCTTTTCCAGGTCGAGGACCTTTTTTGACACATCATCATATTGTGCACTAACGAATTTTACCGATTTTTCTACCTAAAGGAAGGATTTCTTCAATTCAGAATTTTGTGTTTTCAGCTCATTTACCTCGGACACCAATTTGTTCAAAATGGTAGACTGTTGTTGTTCTGTTTTTTTTTTCAGATAATATACATGTTTGAATTTTGTTCCAAAAGGCAAACATAGCTTCGATTTCTCGTTTTAGTTCTTCCCTGAAATTATGTAATTCATTGGAAGCTTCACACCTTGGGCGCTTATTACGTGGATTCACATTAATGTTCTCCTTAGCGGTATTACTCATTACAGCGATATTTGGATCTGATTGGGATTGCATTAACGTAGTCTGTGCAGTGGGCGGTGTACGCAGAGTCTTGGATATAATGTTGTAGGTACACTGGCTAAAACGTCACTCAACAGCTCAACATTGTGCACGAACACCATAAAATCACGAGACCAATCCTGCGAGACACCGAGCTGTCACGTTAAAGTCCATAAGCATGAGATCAACGTCGTTGGACAGTCCGCGGCAGCGATAACCAGCTACCGTAGATATGATATGAGCGTATATTACTCTTAAGGCAGGGGTCTATAACACTGGTCTTAAATGCGCAACTTGCAAAGACACGACTGTTCACTACGGCGTACCGAGCCGAACTACTATTATTATTTATTATATCCTGGTAAAGGGTAAAAACAAAAAAAATGTAGCAATTTAGAAATGCGGTTTCCGACTTTTTTTTTTTATGCGCCCGAAGCAAATATGGGCAACCCTCCGGAAAGCGGGGGAGGGAGGTTGAGAATGCTCATAGCATACCACGCAGCCGGCTGCGTGGTTATGTGGAGACTTTTACCCACTAAACTCAACCTTTTGGGAATTGGCTTAACGATCTGACTAGAGATCTCTAAGCCGTATACGAACGCGACCCTCCTTGGCAGAAAGGAGGGCGCAAGCGGCGAAAAGCCGCTTAGAAAAGTGCCTAACTAAGGCAGATTAATGGATGTGTTATGTAGGCTCGGCCCGAGCCGCCAGGAGGCAGTTTAGGTCAGCCGAAAGCTTGTTGGGGGGGTCCGAGAGAGAGTTTCTCGGTCTGCGCACACTATAGCGAGTGTGGATAGGGGCTAGGTTTCCGACTCTAAATTATTCCTTTTTATGCAACTCTAATGAGTTTAGTTAAGTTGTCCCTAGTAAATATTTATCATATGGCAAACTGTTGACGCATCCAAATTAGTTTACAAGGTTTCTTCTTCAATACGTTTATGTCATTTTACCCATGTTTTCACCGCGTCCATCAATCAATTATCAAAGTTTTAATTTTTGTGGAAATCCAATTTGCCACAATCTCGTTATTATTCATGAGGCGCTGTCAATACATTGCTTTTTACAGAATCCCGTCATTCTCTCAGGCAATCGTTGTTAAATCACAAATCTTTATGAAATGGAAAATGCCTGATTGTATTATTTTAACTATAGCCTAGAACTTAACGTGCCACAACTCACAGATGATTAAACCCCTGTTTACTGCACTGTACACAATGCTATCAACTAATTTAACGATACAAGTTTTGACCAACAAAGATGATAGATAGAATAAATTTCAAGTGGCACAGAAAACAAACCTAAAACTTACTCGTTTTATTGTAAGAACACAAACGGACACATAAATATGCATCTAAAATCATGTATAAAAGCAATATGGTTTTCGGTATATAATTATAATTTCGACCTTATATTACAGTATACCCGATACCGTGTAATAATCGCGTATTGGCAGTGTAGGAATAATCCACTACCCCATATAAATCCGCGGGTGGCATATAAGGCGATAGAGGGAAACTGAACCAGGAGCCACATCATCATCATCATCATTACAGCCCTTCACAAGTCCACTGCTGAACATTGGCCTCCCCCAAGTTAGGCCACAAAGCACGGTCCTGGGCCACCTGTATCCATCGACTTCCTGCATGTCTTATCAGTTCGTCACTCCATCTAGTGGGAGGTCGCCCTACACTTCGCCTACCGGTATGAGGCTGCCACTCGACAACCTTTTTTCCCCAACCGTTGTCGGTTTTTAGAGCTATATGGCCGGCCCATTGCCACTTCAGCTTACTAATCCATTGGGCTATGTCGGTCGCTCTGGTTCTACTACGGATATCCTCATTTCTAAGTTTATCACGCAGAGAAACTCCGAGCATAGCCCTCTCCATAGCTCGCTGAGCGACTTTGAGCGTCCTTATACGGCCAACAGTGAAGGATCACGTCTCGGTTCCGTAGGTCACCACTGGCAACACGCACCGGTTGTACAGCTTAGTTTTCAGGTTTTGAGGTATACCTGACGAGAAGATGTGTCGTAATTTCCCAAACGCTGTCCAGCCGAGTTGAATCCGTCGATTGACCTCTTGGTCGAAGTTGGACTTACTTAGTCGAACTATTTGTCCCAGGTAAACGAACAGGTAAACGTCAACAACTTCGAGCTTAGTGCTCCCAACAACAACCGGCATAGGTGTGACATGGACATTAAACATGATCTTTGTTTTGTCCATGTTCATCTTAAGACCTATCCGTTGGGAGGCACTCTTGAGGTCATTGAGCATAGTGTTTAAGTCCTCCAGGAGCGCTCTCCAGGAGAACCAGGAGTCAAGCTGCAGCTATATTATGGTTGTAGCACGAATGGGTCAGCTCGACCGGGGAAGGATCACGATTTTACGGAATACCTAAAAAAAGCAGCTTAATATTACTGTGTTTCGTATGGTGAGCTTAGAGATCCGGAGACCCTTTTTTACTGGTAATGAGGCATTCCATCTTAGTACTCACGGGTGACAATGCTTCTGTGTTTTGTTTCTTAATCAAGGATAAATGTAGATGTTTATGGGCCATAGCATCCACTTACCATCAGGTGAACTGTGCTTGTTAACCCTATTCTATAAAAAAGTAGATCGGTAACAGCATCTTCCTGATAACAGCTTTATAAAAAACTGGCAGTCATTGGGGACTGCCGACAGTAGTGAAAATCTAAAACTTTAAAATAATATTGGATATACATACGGTACATTACGAGTTATTCCAGCATTTTGGTAATGCGAATTCATAAGATTTTACCCATCCAAAAAGCTTCCAACATGCATATCATAAATGCAACACGTAAAAATTACAGCTACAGATATACTGTTATCGTTGCATTCATAGCATGGCGGTGATGCGAACTTATAATGCTGATCCTCACACGCTCGAGGAACGCGCACGTCCATTGTGGGGTCAGCCTAAGATTTACCCATTCAAATCGTCCAACGCGCCTAAAGACGTCTTCACTTTAAAAAAACTGCTATGGTTTCCAACCCGCTTACCAAGCGTGGCAACTATGGCAAGTATGCCCAGTGCTGTAATCTATGGGGGAGACGTAGAGTATGTTCACCATTTTGTCGATAGGAATATCTGTGCCAGTTTCTCATATCCAAACGTGACGAAAAGATTTATGGTGTTCAGTAATATAATTGTGGTCTTTGATATCTCGAACGCTGCCCAGAGGTGGACCCGTTTGTTGTTTGATTTAATATGCTTACGTCCAACAGTGGAAATTTACGAGAGAGAAGAAAGATGTGAGTGAAATGTATGAAGGTTCATTTTATCTTTCTTTTATTCTGAAATTACATCAAAATATCACTACGAAGGTTAGGATAAACTGGACTGTGTTGTGCAGAAGTGATCCATCACAAACTGGCCAATATAATGGTCCAAGCTTTTCGGCCTAAATAAATTAGGCACTAAACGTCAATTCTCCGTAACTCCTTCAGTCAACTACGAGCGAGCGGGAGGACTAGTTCTTTGTTTTGTTAACCGCGTACGTTGTTCTCGTCACTCTAACACTGATTTTGTTTAATTTGACTAAGAAAACACTGTCATTATTTTTATACGCGCTCAATGTCAACGTGACTTGAAGTTTATTTCAGAAAACCTATGTAACTTTGTTTCGTACTCAGAACAATAAACAATTTCCTATTAGTCTTAAAACAGTAATTGTCGTAAATAAAAATACACCTGCCAACTTGCGTGGCATATTTACCGTGCTAGCTGCCGCCTCACCCGTGCGACCTACAGTTATCTCACAGATTTTTTCTTAATTACCGGTCTAGTAGTATTATACAATATAATATATTAGACTTGTAGAGAAGAACAAGTTTGTCAAAAGGCAATTTTTGCGGTTTATTTCCAAGTATGAAGTACTTTTGAAAATAACAAATAAGCCCAAAATTTGAATTCAATGGAAGAAAGGAAAATATAACAGGGTTTCTGCCACAAGAAAATGCATTTCTTTATCTTTCAAATCGGAATAACAATATGTTTTCGTAGGTTTAAACTTTTCTTCACAACACAGTACAATTGTAGTTTAAAATGTAATAAACATTCCAACTTTCCTTTTCGTTCCACTAGATCTGTGCTTAAGGCTGCGGGCACGAAATTAGCGACGGTCAAGCGATGGCGCTAGCGGTGCGGCGCGATGCGACAGCGTCGTAAAGCATAGTTTAATATAGCGACACGCAAGAAACGAGCGAGAGCGATAGCACTACAAACATCGCTCGAATGACCGTCGCTAATTTCGTACCCACACTCTTATTGTTGTTCTATATTTTTTATAAAATCGACTGATTGTTTTGCCCAGGATCACACCAAGTACACCATGCGGTTAATAATAAAGAAGATTACAGAAGCGGATGAGGCTGACTACTTCTGTCATGCAGAAAACGCATTCGGAAAAACTTTAAGGCCGGTCTCCGTCCGACTGAGACCGACCTCACCTCACCATAACGTCACTGAATGTTGCAAACAGGTAAGATACCGATAAAACTTTTAATGTATGTATTCTTTATTATGTTCTTTCGGCAAAAGGGAACGCTCGTTGCGAAACCAAATGCTCGTAGCAAATGCTAGTTGGTAATGAGCCAATCTTTTTGGACCTCAAATGTAATAACATATATTACCTTTGAGCTCCAAAAAAATTGGTAAGGTAATATAAATATAATAACAGATAATGTAATAACATGATGAATTTTGAGACGTGCAGCAGCGTCTATGAAATTATATTTTCTTCGCTCAGAAGGAAAGAAAGTGTAAGGTAAACTGAAAAGTTCAATTATTTGTTATCACAATAACCATTCATAACAAAAAAAAATATGTCTGTGTAAAATAGTACTGAGTGGACCTCAGTCAACGATTACTTTTAACTCCATCTCATCACTTTGTACACATATCATTCTGGAGCAAAGCTGCAAAGGAAAACTTCAATGACCAGGCTCCTGTGCCAGTGATCTTCTAAACATTTTGTGTGGTTTTCCAACAATCTGTTTATCTTGCTGCAATAGGTTGTTTCACATTAAACATTATCACGAGTCTGTTCTTTTTTATATTTTTATGTTCACTTTAACCGCCTCCGTAGTATTATCACTGGCCTTAAGTTGACTGGCAGATATTGCTTTTAGAATTAAGTCCGCCTCTTGATCCTGTTTGTTCTGTAAGGTTAAATAAAGATTCCATTCATAGCAGCCTATAAAAGTCCACTACTGAACATGGCCACTCCCATAAATTGCCTCATAGGAAGTTTTAGTTTCCATCTGTCCCTCTTTACGACACCCTCGGGACGACGTGGGGTAGTGGATATTCCTACTCCACCACTATACGGTCAAATAATAACTAAATAAATGAAAATTATGATTTTCCAAACAGATGAACGTATCATCAGCATGCATCGATGCGTGCAGCTTCCACTTGGATATGGACAATATTATGGACCGTCCCGAGTGCATGGACGATTTTGATAAAATGATGAAATGTGCAGCAGACGGATCTGGTAAGTAACAGAAACAAAAACAGAGACTTCTTGTTCAATATAGATTACAAATAATAATTATTATGTAATAGTGACTTTTTAAATTTACTACTTATTTGGAAAGAAACTTCTGTCCTGGGAAGAATCGGCAAGAAACTCAGAGGGACTCTTTTTTAAATAACAGCAGCAAATCAGAAATAGCTAGTTATCTAATAGAGATCACATTTTCCGGGTGCTATTATCATCCATAAGTAATAACGGAATCGCCTCTTCATCAGAACCGTTTTTAATGGTAACGAGGCATTCCGTCTAAGTCTTCAAAAGTTACATTGCATCTGCATTTTGATTTGTAGTAGTTTGGCTCTAACATCTACATTTATCCTGGATTAAGAAACAAAATGCAGATGCTTCGTCAATCCTGAGGACTAAGATGAAATTCATCTAGTTTTCAATAAAAATTGTCTTCGGTTCACTCACCATACGGAAAACAGCAGTATTAAGCTGCTATTTTACACAGGTACTCCGAGAGCGCGGTCCTTCTTCGGTCGAGTCGAATTATTTGTGCTAGTAACCGTAATAGCTACGGCATGGTTTTACCACTTAAAGTTAAAAAGTAAAGTTACAGCCTATATACGTCCCACTGCTGGGCTCAGGCCTCCCCTCATTTCTGAGAAGGTTTAGGGCAAGGAAGTGTCCGCCGCGCTGCCCAAATGCGTGTTAACGAACTTCACATGTCTTCGAAATATTTTTTTTCTTATTCCTCAGACATGCAGGTTTCCTCACGATGTTTTCCTTCACCGCCGAGCACGTGGTAAACCAGCACTTAAAATTGCAATTAACAATTTCATTGGTGCCGGCGGGGGATCGAACCCGGGTTACTCGTGTTCTGTTATATTTACAGCGAGCGTTAACCACTGAGCTACCACGGCTTTACCACTTATAATATTATAATTATTAAGCGTGACAAACGAGCACACAGTCCAACTGATGGTAAGTAACCACTTAAGTAAACCCATAGACTTCTACATTTATTCCCCCTTACAATTCAAAATGCTGTGCGTTATCATCAATTAGGACTAAGAGGTATACCTCGTATCCAGTAAAAAGGACTACTTTACCGCGTAATAAGTTATGTAATAATGTGCAATTATGTAGTTTTAAATAAAGATGTTTGTTTGTGTGTGCGTGTGTCAGACCACCGCGCGTGCTGCGCGTCGTGGGGCGTGCCGCGCGGCTGCCTAGAGCTGTGCCGTGGCGGCGGTGCGTCGCGCACGTGTGCGCTGCAGCACGCGCGCCGCGCGCTCGCCTGCTTCCGCGAGGCGGGCGCGCGCCTGCCCGGCCCGCCGCGCGCCTTCCGCGCGCACCGAGCGCCCACGCCGCACGCCGTGCTGCTCAGGTACCGTGTCTAACACAACGCTATACAGCGGGACATGTGTAACACTGCGCTGCAGCACGCGGCCTGTTTCCGCAAAGCGGGCGCGCGCCTGCTCAGCCTCACTTTGTGCCATATTATGACGTGGTAGCTAAAAATTCGAGCCACTTAGTTTAGTGAGAAAAACAAATATATATTGGAAACAGTGGCGAAGCCTCCATAGAAGCCGAGAAGACCAGCTTGCCTTATCAAACTGAATCAGTCAATACTATCAAGTAATAAAATAACTCATAAACTGTTTCAAACTATTTCAAATTTCCTGCACGCTCCTGTGTTCGACACAGGTCATGACCTCGTAGCCTTAGGGATATCATACATATAAAATGAGTTGGATTGAGCGATTAGTTGTCTCTCTCGCACGCGTAGGCTTTTTACCTGGCTTTCGATAAGACGATCGCTCCCTTTTTAACCTGTGGCAAAATGTTCTTTAATGAAATACAACTACGATTTTATAAATAGCAATTTGTATGGAGAGAAAAAGCCCGGCTTTTGCTATGAATAAAGTGACCATTTATTTTTTTCCTCAGAGCAGGACGCCTTTAAAATTATTATAGTTTTAACACTATTCACTGCCTTCTTTGTCTAGCGGCCGTAAATGCAATTGCTGATCATGTGGTCCCGGGTTCGAAACCAGAGTCGAGCCAAGAATAATATATTGGGTTTTTTCTGTCACAAAATTCTCAGTAGCAGCCCGGAATAGGAGTAGGGTAAACCTGCGGTTGCACATACACTTGGGCAATATAATCCAGATGCGCAGATATCTATTCTCTGTTGAGAATGACCGCCATTACCAAAATTCAATATGGAAGCTTTTAATATGGTTTTAAAAATAAAACACATAGTTGTTTGAATCTTTTAATGATCAAAAGTAAATTCTGAACAGAAAATTAATAATTATTGGACATAAATTATGTTATTTGATAATTTATTGTAGATTAATTAAAAATTGTCACTTCGTAACTCTAAATTTAAAAGTATAGCTTTTCAGGATAATCACGAAACTAGTCAAGCCATGCTGGCAAACCTGGTACGCGCGCTATGTCTTGGTATGATGGCGCGGTTGTCAGTTTGCATGATGGTACCCTTTTGTTTGTCAAAGCGGGACATATTTACGTATTTTGGGGACAACGGGACACAAACCTTTAAATCGGGAACGTCCCGCCTGAAGTGGGACGTCTGGTCATGTTAGGTATGAAGTTAGTTGAGAGCGGAGACGCGTGGGCGACGATACGTTTGCAAGTTCACTTCACATTTCAATGTTTAGATTGTGTTTTGAGCTTGAGTGAATGTATTATAAAAAATATTGCGTGTTGAAAATTTATGTATTTATAAGATTTTTAGTGAAAATGGAAGGAGGATGTTCCTTGTGATGAAATGAAGTGTGTTAAAGTGCTAATTGGCGAGGAAAAGGTAAAATCCTTAACTTTGTTGAGGAAAAACAGTTCATATCCACGCCAAATCCAACGCTTAATCTGTGCATTTCTCAGACGAGTATAACCCACAAATCTGTTTACAAAACTCATTGGAATATTGGCTTCTCGCATACCAATAACTTGTACTGTTGGTGTTGCATATTCTTTTCCAACGACAATACGGCTTAGAATACTACTGGATATGACGATTTAAATAACTTATCTGGAGTCATTAAGAGGCATATGAATTCTCAAAAACACATGAATGCGGTAATTTCGTTTAGTAATTTCGGAAAAAATAGGATTAAAACATCTTTGTTGCGCCAGTCATCCGAGGAAATTACAAAACACAACATGCGTGTTGATCACAACCGTAGTTTTTTTCAAAGATTAGGCGATATTGTTTGCTATTAAGTACAACAAGAACTTCCTTTCAGAGGTCACGATGAGTCGAAAACTTAATTTAATAGAGGCAACTTTTTAGAACTTGTACAATGCTTTTTGGGCATGGCACATGGCACGCGTACGTGCGTGCGTGCGTGCGTGCGTGCGTGCGTGCGTGCGTGCGTGCGTGCGTGCGTGCGTGCGTGCGTGCGTGCGTGCGTGCGTGCGTGCGTGCGTGCGTGCGTGCGTGCGTGCGTGCGTGCGTGCGTGCGTGCGTGCGTGCGTGCGTGCGTGCGTGCGTGCGTGCGTGCGTGCGTGCGTGCGTGCGTGCGTGCGTGCGTGCGTGCGTGCGTGCGTGCGTGCGTGCGTGCGTGCGTGCGTGCGTGCGTGCGTGCGTGCGTGCGTGCGGCGTGCGGCGTGCGTGCGTGCGTGCGTGCGTGCGCGCGCCGTGCGTGCGTGCGTGCGTGCGTGCGTGCGTGCGTGCGTGCGTGCGTGCGTGCGTGCGTGCGTGCGTGCGTGCGTGCGTGCGTGCGCGCGCGCGCGCGCGCGTGGCGTGCGTGCGTGCGTGCGTGCGTGCGTGCGTGCGTGCGTGCGTGCGTGCGTGCGTGCGTGCGTGCGTGCGTGCGTGCGTGCGTGCGTGCGTGCGTGCGTGCGTGCGTGCGTGCGTGCGTGCGTGCGTGCGTGCGGCGTGCGTGCGTGCGTGCGTGCGTGCGTGCGTGCGTGCGTGCGTGCGTGCGTGCGTTCTGCGTGCCGTGCGTGCGTGCGGCGTGCGTGCGTGCGTGCGTGCGTGCGTGGCGCGTGCGTGCGTGCGTGCGTGCGGCGTGCGTGCGTGCGTGCGTGCGTGCGTGCGTGCGTGCGCGCGTGCGTGCGTGCGTGCGTGCGTGCGTGCGTGCGTGCGTGCGTGCGTGCGTGCGTGCGTGCGTGCGTGCGTGCGTGCGTGCGTGCGTGCGTGCGTGCGTGCGTGCGTGCGTGCGTGCGTGCGTGCGTGCGTGCGTGCGTGCGTGCGTGCGTGCGTGCGTGCGTTGCGTGCGTGCGTCGTGCGTGCGTGCGCGTGCGTGCGTGCGTGCGTGCGTGCGTGCGTGCGTGCGTGCGTGCGTGCGTGCGTGCGTGCGTGCGTGCGTGCGTGCGTGCGTGCGTGGTGCGTGCGTGCGTGCGTGCGTGCGTGCGTGCGTGCGTGCGGTGCGTGCGTGCGTGCGTGTGTGTGTGTGTGTGTGCATCTTGGGCTTATTGCCACCTAGGATATTTGATTGAAAAATTGTAAAGTGTAAATATTTTCACTAAATTAAATACGTGAAGAAGAGGTTAAATTAGCACAGTATCCAATAGCAGTACCGCAGCACTGCTATTGGATACTGTACTGTGCCCGCTTCTGAATGTATGTCATCAATATTTATACTTCATAGGACTGTAGATTGGGTTAAACCATCGCGCTCATGTATCCATTAGCAAGGAGCATGGTGGCCCTTTCTACAGTATATTAAATAAACTTAAGTTAAAATTTTAACTTAAGTTTTGATGTAAAATGTAAAGGAAGGGTAAACGAAAAAAAAAACCACTTCGCAGTATCAAATAGCAGCAAGGTGCTACTCCTTTCTTTTCGTTATAAAATAATGTTGCGAATAAATTTACACTATTAAGCTTTTAAATTGTAGAACGTAATTAGATTTTTTTTTAATTTCATTTGGTATCATCAAATGAAATTAAAAAAAAAATCTAATTTGTATAAAATAAAACTAATGTTTCAGAAAGAAACATGACCCGTTACATTTCCGAACCAATTAACTTTCCGTACCATAAAATGTAACCTCGTAACATTATTAACAGTTGGGAGCCACCACTAAAGAATCCACAAACGGTGTACCTGTACCGGGTGTTCTGGCGGGCGTACGGCGCGAAGGTGCCCGAGAAACTCGACACAAGTGAGACCAGCGTTGTTCTCACCGGACTTGCTGATGACGTGCGTTACGAATGCGTGGTGAAAGCTGCAAATGATGTTGGTAAGTATTTTTTAAATATAAAGAAGGTTCTCGAGTGGCAGCCTTAGGCCGTCAAGTCATTTTTATAAAATAGGGTGACAAACGAGCACAAATTCCACCTGGTGGTAAGTAGATGCTGGTGCCATAAACATCTACATCTATCCTCGATTAAGAATCATAATTCAGATGTGGTATCACCCCTGAAGGCCAAGATGGAATGCCTCGTTTCAACTAACAACGGTCTCCGCTTCTCTACACTCACCATACGAAACACAGCAGCATTAAGCTCTTAGTCCTCTCCCGTGTTATCTACCTAGATGTACGTACGTTTATTGAAAGAACTAATAATACTTTAAACAAGCTTACTTATAGAAATCTATTACGTCGCAAACATTTCGTAAGTCTGATATTTGATGCGATCCACTTTTGTCATATTTGTAAATGTGTAATCAAATCATATTAAATATCATTGCGCATTTACATTATGTCATCACACCAATTTACGTTGATATTATGTATATAAGAGCTTGGTCTTTTCTTGATCGAGCAGACGCATTCGAGCTACAACCATAATGTACCTGCGGCGTGGCTCTACTACGCAACCAGTAGAAGCATTATCACAAACGTATTACTACAGCACATAATCAAAACCACTGCTGTACATGGGCTACTCCCATAGATTGGCACAATTCAATGCGGTTGCATGCCTGCTTGCCAAGCGTGACAACAAAACAAAGAGTATATACTTACATCTGAATCAATACTATAGACAGGTAAAAATCTGATGCCTAAACTAGGTAAAACCTCTATCTTAGGACACCATCCTTTATTTTTTGTTGAAAAAAAAAACTTCCAAGACAACATTACCAAAAACGTGATTTAACCACGTGTGGTAACCTTGAAATGTTTGTATTAGGAGTGGTTCAGGACAGTAGTCGAATAGAGGATTCAAGTCCACGATCCTGCAATTAAATTACTGTCGCAATGTTCTTCCTAACATTTACTACATATGAGCACGCGTGGTGCAGGCACGTCGACACTGAGCGCGCCGATCATATTCACGACGGCGGGGCAGGAGGACGGTGAGGGCGCGGGGGGTGGCGGGCGCAGCGGGTGCGGGTGCAGGGGAGGGGGGGCGCGGGTGCCTCCGTCGTGGGCGCCGCGGTTGCCTGCCTGCTCGTCGCCGCGCTGCTGCTCGCCGCCGCCTTTTACTACAGGCATCGGAAGGTACGCTACTCTCACACAATAGAACTCTACTTGAATTTATAACCTTAAAGTGACAAACGACCTGTATATCAAAGACTTCTATGTATACTGCTAGAACGGCAATCCAGAACAAAAACTTAGTCGCAGCTGTTGATTGCGCGGGCGAAAAGCTAGTATAAAGAAAATAAATATTATATTCCCTAAAATAAAAATTTTTAAAAAAAAAAGCAAAGAACTAAACTAATGTTAAAGACTCCTGCTCGCGGGTGCAATAAAATGGGGAAACCGGACGTCGCATGTTGCGCTTTTCGTTCTCTGCCGCACACAAGTATAGTCTTCTCACCCGTCCAGAGTAGACTAAAAAAATTACGGAGAATTGACCATAACTTAGTTCGTAATGTATTGGTACCGTAGTGCCCATCTAGCAGTATACATAGATTTATTTGTTGTATATATTTTATAAGGTTAAATTATTTTAACCGTCTCATGGGAAAGTATAATATCAACATTACTATCAGGTCTAACAGTGCGCTCAAACGCATCAGGTACATAAAACTTAATCATGAATATTTGAGGAACAACACAATGCGTTCATTATAATGAATGTGCATATATAGCGCTCGCTGGTAATTAATATAAGTCACAGTACGCGAGCATCCCGGAATTGAGTCTCGCTGGCACCAATGAAATTATTAATTGCAATTTTAAGTGTTGATTTACCACGTGCTCAGCGGTGAAGGAAAACATCGTTAGAAAACCTTCATGTCTGAGAAATAAAAAATAGATATTTCGCAGCGCTCGCTAGCGCTCGTTTTCAACTATGATGCAAGAAGGGCGAGCGGCGGCAGAGCTGGCCCTTTTCTCTTCTCTCTACCTTTCATTTAGGCGGGGCGCGTTTCTTGATTGGCCAAAAATCACGTCACATCATATTACATGAAAAATAGCATCCATTACCGAACTAGGCCGGAACCGGTTTTCAGCATATGGCCCCACTCCCCGGACATAATAAACATAAATTATTTATTTAATGTTATGGTTTATACAATAAAATATAATAAACATGTTTTTCTCATTTAAATTTCTCCTTTCAACCCCCCCCCTCTCCCCCTTCAGTGAGTGTGGAATGAATTGCGTGGATAGGACGGAGAGGGACACTGGCAAAACAATAACCAACCAAACAAAATTTGACAGTGCCCATTTTTTCCCCGCAACCAAAATGAATATAGTTGTTTACTTAATAAATAAACATTAATATAATCTACCAAGACCTTTTTCGATAAGCTTAATAAAATTAATACAAAGGGTTTAAAGTCAAAAGCTTTAACTAACTTTTTGAAAAAAAGGATTGTGTTAAAAATTGTTAAATTAGGCTATTTTATTTAACATTAGGCTATGTTATAAGAGCTAGAATATGACTACAGTATTAATCAATTTGACCCTAAGTTAAATAAAGGCACTTATTGTATATTAATAAGAAATCGCGCAGAATCAGTGACGTCCTCTTGTCGATGGCCACTCCACTTTGGGTCGCTACTTAGCAGAAAAGTAAATTATGAAGGCGTTGACGAGACCCAAGTGGGACTTAATGGTTCCTGCCCCTGCACTCCAACTTTACGATTTTAAGTACGGATCAAGATATGCAGTCAAGGTCCAACCGAACTTGTGTATTGTAAAAGTTAGAAGCTATCTCAGGGCTTAGACGTTACGTATTAATTTCGCAACAATTCTCAGCTGCCGTACAGCCGCCTTCAAATTAAACTCAATGAAATGCCCAACTGTAAAATTCGACGAAGTTGTCTTTAACGCTGGTTGGAAGTTGTATTTTACGCTGATATTCGGTGAGGGCGTGGTCCTACCACGGTCGAGCTGACCCATTCGTTCTGCAACCACAATATAGCTGCAGCATGGCTTTACCATGTGAATCGACTGCATTACGATAGCATTGCGTTGATTGTCGTCCTCAAAAGTACAAGGAGCTTATATAGTTAGAGGCTGTAAGGCATTTCATCTTAATCCTGAGAGGTGACACAGCGTAGTCTTCTTTGTTTGAAGTTGCAGGTGTCCATGGACCGCAGTAGCCACTTACCATCATGTGGACAGTAAGTTCGTTTGACTCTTCAGTTTTTTTTTAAATATGCATTATAAATTTTGTTACAGAATTTAAGACTTAAATCACAAGGAGGAGTGGCATTTGAAAACCCCAGTTACCTCAGAGAAACAAATCCTGACACCATTAGCAACGTAAGTAATTTTTTAAATAGATTTAAAAGTACGTATGCGGACATATCTCATCATATTATTTTAAACTAAGTTCGCACTAAAGAAATAGATACATGATGTGTCGTTGATACTAACTTCATATTCGTAGGGTGTGCAAAAAATCTAACGGAATTATATTTTAATAATATTTATATCTATTTAATCTGAATTTTATGTATTTTTCCTAAAGAAATTAAAATCTTTAAATTAATAATTACCTAAGTATATTATATAAGTATATTCAATGATTATAATAATAATGTTATATTGAGTACAGTTGTCGGTAACCCAATTTTATTTTAATTCGGCGCACAAAGAATTTGTGCATCAGCAATACTGTTGACTAATTTGTTAAAATTCATTAAAAAACTTCAACTCTAACAGGGTACGTTGCCGAACGGAAACGCAAATGGGCCCAACGGCATAGCCAACAGCGTGTCAAATAGTGCAGCGTGGCGGCAAGAGACGCTGCAGAATGCTAGCACAGCGCGCGAGGTCGAGCCCACCTTGTACGAGGAGTTGAAGTTGGGGCAGGACGGCGCGGGCTTCAAGCGGCTGAAGCCATAGCCCGCGGCACTCAGCGAGGCGCTGCGTTCACCGCTCCGCTTGACGCGCCGCTCGGCACTCAGCGAGACGCTCCGCTCGCCACGCCACTCACCACGCCTCTCCTCGCCGCGGATTGCGCCCGAATACTGAGCTAATGACTTTGTAATCTAAATTATTTAACAAATTGAATTTTGCGGCAGGTTTCTGTTTTATGGTCAACGGAACTTGCGTACTGTGTATTATGTAAAAATAGGAACGTTTATAAGACTGTAATATACTATCTAAATAAAAAATAACCGTGAAAATTAGAATATAGTAAACAAACAACATCATTTTAGCAATTTTTAATAATATCTATGGAAACAATTTTGAAAATATTTATCAATTATTATTCTTTACCCATATTTAACAAAGTATATACATATAAGCGAAATATCACTGACTCACTCATTCATACTCACTCATAAGAAAGGATGAAATAAGATGATGATGAAATAAGGTGTTTAACACACTAATTTTATTAAAATTTTACATTTGTCCCTGTCAGTACCTACACAAGTGGGTAGGAAAATTTTGTGGCGTCTCTCTCTCTCTCCTCTGTGTGTAGCGAAGTTAGGAGCCGATTATTATCTATTTTGTTAATTTTACCAAATAATATATAGACACAATATATAAACATGTGTACGTTATAAAGTTCTTTGTGACACAGAATTTAATTTCATAAACTGGACTTAAGTGGTAGGGCTGGAGTGGAGTGGATGTAGATATAGATTATAAAAATAAATTTAAAAAATATTTCCAAAGTAACACTTAATGTGATGAAAACCATAACAATATAGTAAGATCTATTTCCAAGACTATAAGTAATATTAAAATAGCAGAAAACAAAAATATAAGGACATATTTTTTCAATTTTTTTCACCACAGTATCAAAATTTTACGCCATTGTTGTAAAAGTTTTCGCCGTTTTCATTATTACTTACTTAGATTGCTACAGCTTCTTTAACGAAGCATTTTGTAATAAATTTAGGTCAACTGTATAAAAAATGTGCCTTCAATTTATGAAGTAGGTAGTTATATAGTATTAGTTACCTTTCGGCATGTATGATATGTACCTAATGTAAATAAAGAATTACATTCCATAGAGCGTAGGAGTAACACTTTGTACAATCTATATAAAGATAACCGTAAAAAGATTTGTACAGTATTCAGATTCGATAAGTTTTATTTGTAAAAGTAAATTACCATCATTAAAGTACGCAACATGAGAATAGGATTGTATGCCGGCAACTTCAGTTTGTAATCATCATATTAGTACTGGAAAAAAGTTAAGTTGATAAAAATTGTCAAGTATTATATATATTTATAAACTAAATACTAGAAATGTTGAGTTGTTGGTTTCTTTTCAATAAATAAATATTTTTTATACGAAGCGTAAATTTTGTAATATGTAATATATTTTAGAATACTTTCATTATAAAAAAAAAACTTCTACAAAAAATTTTGTGCCACATCACGACAATCACGTAAAGCCGTTATTTTTGAGATGTTCATTTATTTATTTTAGGAAAAATATATTAAAATGCGGCGGTACATTTATTTATTTTCATTAAATTGTGATAAAATTAAAAACAATTTAGTTAATACAAATAAATTTGTAATGTTTATTCCACTTTGATTTTTTTTTTGCACGCCGTACACAACGGCCTTAAAGTTATTGCACAAAGTGAAGCGAAATGTCAGTTGTACAAACCTATTCTTTTAGTGCACGTGTTAGTAAAATTGATATAATCTTCTGATGAAACTCTGTTTTTCGAATTTATTTGCATCCTAAATATATTTTTATATTAGGCATTAATAATTTGGATATCAAATGTTACGTCGATCATTAATTTCTTGTATGAAAACATTATTGAATTAACATTGCAAAAGAATAGGTAATTTTTTTTACTTTACCTATTTCCGTTTCTTTTTTGATCCAAAATGCTTTAGGATGTAAAGTTCACACAAACTACGTTTGTTATTATGTGATTTCATTAAACGAATGATCTCATTCACAGTTATTTTCAATTGAACGATAAATGTACATTGGATTTTATATTTTGTCATACCGTATTTTGTTTTATTCATATAGAACACTTATTTCCAACATAAATTAAACTTACTAAAATAATATAAAAACTTTTTGTGTTTATTAAACTTCACTATTGGTATACTCGTAGAGTTCCAAAAAATCATAATCTAATATCGCACTTCACCGATCACCGAAGTTTTCGGTCAAGTTCGGCAATCTTTCAAACGCTTTACATGCATACTCGTAGGTAGTGTGAACTTGTATTCTTAGGGGTGATTTCTGTATTAGAACTTCTTTACGCTATATTAATGTAATAGTTTTAGTTAAACAAGACGAATGTGATTAGAAATGGAAATAAAATATGAAATGAACAAATGATAATGTAGTATTGCTTATTTTGCAAATACACCTTTATTGTTAAAGCTCGTTGGGTGCACCCCACTTCCAAGCACAGCTCATCCTAATTCACGAAGTTGTCGCTTATAGCTGCATTATACATGGTAGAGCCACGCTGCACCTTTATTACAGTTGTTGTACGAATGGACCAACAGAACCATGGAAGGACAATGCTCTCACAGAATACCAGCATGAAATAGCTGCTTAATGCTACTGTGTTTCGTATTGTGAGTGTAGGGAACCGGTGATCCTTTCTACTGGAAATTCCAACTGAGTCCTCAAAGGTAACAGCGCATCTGCATTTTGATTCGTAATCGACGATAGATATAAATGTCTATGGGCCATATCATCTTCTCTTTTCATATTCTCTAAAACACGAGATAGATATGCGTTAATGTCGAACAAAGAAAGAAAAAATCTAGTAACATTTTTATAACATGCTCAATGGTGAAAACAGTAATTTAAAAAGAAGACTGTGTAAAAAGTTAACTTAAAAAAGACAAATTTTATACTCTAAGTCACTTGCACAGCTAAGACGATTCTAATGACACCCCATATGTTCAACTCCATCAAGCCGTTTAGGCTACAGAGCGCACCAAAAAAAATTACATACATATACTTTAAAAACAATACCCTCCTTCGACAGTTGAGTCAAAAGGTTCTAGTTTTAATTTTGTACTACGTAGAGAGATGATATTGTGTATTCTGCGACGCTGATTCCCAAACTACAAGAATCGACCCTTATAAGTGTAAATTAGTTTTCCAGTGTTTCTCCGATCTGTCGAACACCGAGTATAGTCGTCATGTGTAGGTTAGTCATGTGATTGAATAAATACTTACAACTTCGGTATTATGAAACTACGAGTATCACCGTTAAATTAACAAGTAAATCATTATACTTTACACTTTAAAGTTTAGAGTTGTCTCTAGCGGGTTGAAATCAAAATAAGAAATTGAAATTTAATCAATTCGATGTAACTGTCGCCGTGAGAGAATACCAGTATATCATATATAAGAGACACCTTGATCCGTGTTAACCATGGCGTTTATGGCGATTTCTCCCTACAAGAGGAATCCCCAGTGGGTGTCATAAGTGACAACGGAGGTAATATGAAACATAAGATAAACACCAACATCTGCACAATAACTACAAATTTTAAAATCGGGGGAATCCCACAGATTTTGATAGGTTTCGTGAACTATTTATAGACTCATGAATGAATGAAGGGAAGAGCCCTGCGTTTAGTGGTGGACTTTTGCGTGCTGATGAAGAATGTGCAGGGTGTATGCCATATTCTTCTTCTACAGACCGAGTTACACCGCCCTCTATCAGAGCCCATAGGATCTTTCTAACAATTATCATAGTTGCTTTCTACGGAGTACCTACTACTATCGGAAAAAATAGAGTGATATAATTAGAATAGGATAATATATCACACTAGCTGGTACTCGCCGTGTAGCTGCCGCAGAAGAAATATTTGTGGAAATATCATTTTAAACTTGGAAGAGTTATATTGTTCAATTAGCAATAATTTAATTGTAATAAACATTGATGGAAATTGATTGATATTATAAGTCTTTACCTATGATATTGCTATTATACCATTATTATACTCTTAGAACATTTAACTGTCCATTTAAAATCAAAATCGTTTTTGGTTTTACTAAGATTTCTAATTACAAATATTTAAAAAAAACATGGAATTCTTTTTTCAAAATTAGCCACTTGTTTATTGATAAGTGTTATGTTTCTATCGCATTTAGATCTTTTGCATCATCATGCATACGTTGAAAATTCAAGTAATTATAGAATAAGAGTACAGCATAAGCGACATGTAACCTTAACGACGTACAGAGTAAATACTATAAACGAACGCACTACCTTTTATTGGTTTTCCCGTTACTGTTCTGACAATTTCTAACTGAAAAATGAAACCCGTGGTCGTCCAAAATATTAAATCAATAATGAAGAATTAAAGACGATTGTTGAATCTGATGATACTCAATCTACGGCTTAATTAGCAGCAGTTTTCGACGTTAGCATCAAAACAATATTGGTCCATTTGCGTCAAATTGTTCTCAAAATCATTGAGTTCGTGGGGCATCTATTTTCAAAAAACCTTTACAAATAGGTGCCCCACGAACTCAATGATCGCCAGCGCGAAGTACACGTCGAAACGTGCTTTGCACTGCTCAAGAGGCACACAAACGAAGGAATATGAAACCGCATTATTTACCAGCGACGAAATATAGATTCCGTTTGACAATCGCAAGCGCTCAGAAATTTGGTTGGACCAGCATTTAAATAATACCCCAAACGATAACTAAGGAAAGTGATGGTCACTGTTTGGTTGGCTGGCGACGGTGGGATTCATCACAGCTTCTTACCAAACGGGGTGAGCATTACTACAGATGCGTATGGTGAAGAACTGAACACAATGATAAAGAAGAGCGCACGTCTTCAACTTTGCTTTGGTCATTCGCTCGTCTCCGCTGCTCCTGCACAACAACGCGTGATCTCATACTGCACAACAGACGATCTCCAAGTTGC